ATGTTATCCAAAATGGTGGTATTTTTAACTAAAATAGTGGTAATTTTAATCAAAAAAGTGATAATATTATCCAAAACAGTGGTACTCTTAACCAAACCAGTGGTAATGTTAACAAAAAAAGTGGTAATATTAACCAAAACAGTGGTAATATTAACAAAAAAAATAGTACTCTTAACCGAAACAGTGGTAATATTAACAAAAAGAGTGGTACTCTTAACCAGAAAAGTGGTAATGTTAACATAAAAAGTGGTAATGGTAACAAAAAAAATGATACTCTCAACCAAAATAGTGGTTATATTAATAAAAAAAGTGGTACTCTTAACCAAAACAGTGGTAATGTTAACAAAAAAAATGGTAATATTAACTAAAACAGTTTTAATGTTAATAAAAAATTGATACTTTTAACTAAAACAAAAAAAATGGTAATTTTAACAAAAAAAAGTGATAATGTTAACCAAAAATGTGTATTTATTATTTTTTAAATATAATGTTACTTTAATCTCAACTTTAGTTTAATAAATGATGATGATTTAAAATCTCTGGATAAAAATAATTTTTCAACTCCATCTTTTTTTTTATGCTTTTTCTTCGTCGTGTGAGTTTTTTTATTTTTTTATTTTTATGAATTTACGATAATCTCAATCTTAGTTTTAATAAATGATGATGATTTAAAATCTCTTTATTTAGGGATAAAATATTCTGCAACTCTATCTTCTTCTTCGTCGTCTGAGTTTTTTGTTTTTATTTTATGAATTTACTATAGTCTCAATCTTAATTTTAATAAATGATGATGATGATTTTATAATCTCATAGTGATAAAAATAATTTTGGAACTCCATTGATCTTTCTCCTTCTTTTTTCTTGTTTGAGTGATTTTTTTTTTAATAAATTTTTAAGGCCCGATAGCCGATAAAATATTATAGGCGGTGGAAGTTCTTAATCAGTTATAAACCGTTCAATTTTTTCTTTCGGTATCATACTGAAAAGTGAATTTTGATAATGTAGTCCTTCGGGGGCGGACAGTGAAGACTCGGGATGGTAAGGGGTGAATTTACTTTAATGTCCTCTACAAAGTGATGCATCCAACAACTATTCAAATGAGTAAATGCGAGGGGAACTTTTTTTAAGTCTTTTGAGTCACAAGGCATTCGTGATATTTAATAAATTAAAATTTTTACTTCCGAATAATTGAGTTCCACCTTATTTTCAGCTGATCTAACCTCTGATAAACCCGCAAAGGAAATGAGGACCCAGCATTGGAATTTCTTGATTGGGGATGGTGAAAGCTGTTGTATACAGACAAGACGAGCACCCCCCACCCAGCCACCCACTTGTATAAATCTATAGGAAAGCTCCAATGACGTGAGAAATAATTGCAAGCTCTCGCTTTCTAATTGAGCTAGCAATTATTTCTTTCTCTTTCGGTTGTCTGTATCGTTCCTTTAGGTGATTAGATCTTTTTTCGTTTGATTTTTAGTGGTCAAAGGTGGAATGCAAACAAAAGCTGTCCTAAGCCCTAACAGCAGAATTTAGGAAAACGTGCAACTACTTTTCAAAGTGGGTGAGTAATTAATAGGAAACAATGAAAACGCGGATGCCACTTCACATCTCAAGACACTTAAAGATTTAATATTTTATATACTTCATTTAAATTAAATAAACAAATAAATGAACTTAATCGACGGGTGAAGGAACCCCCATTAGCATCAAACACAATATGCCTCGACAATCGTATCGAGCGAAATAATTTTGTGTTACGTGAAACAAATTTATGTTAAAAAATTCTCAATTCATACCTTATTCGTTTATATAAATGAGTTTAACTATTACACTCATATACGAATCGTTTATTAGATGAATTATTCGATATTATTCGTATGTCATCCGCTAAATAAGATAATAGGTTAGATAATTTCAAGTCTATATGAAAAATTATTAACTCGCCACATATTACACATGTTTGATTTATTTACTATAACAATAAATCATGACTGAACAAAAAAATAAAGACTAAAAATAAATATTAAACGACTACTAAATTTGAATAATTCTAAAAGATGGGAGGTCTGAGATGAGACAAAGGCTGAGGGACCTAATTTTTTTTTTAAAAATTTATTGTACCACTCTTAACGAGTTGAAACGAGTTTATGGGTTAAACATGAAACCAATTTGTTTATTTCACGGGTCTGCTGAGTTAATCCGTTAACCACTTGTATCCATTAAGACTATACCCAAATCCGTTAAATCCATATCGAGTTCGTGTCGATTTCACGAGTCGTGTCTAAAATTACAGTCCTAAAACACAATACATCTCATGTAAGGCAATCTTGCGACGTTGGGCTTTTTTGTTTTGAGGGCTTCTTCGGCCGCCGGCCCAAAATAATGACAGCTTAACGAGCTGTGACAAGGAGTCCAACTCAACTGGGATCGGGGAAACGAGTGAAATTGGAATTTGAAAAACAAGCCTACATGACATGACCACCCCCCTCAGCAACCCCAGAAAGTTGTAAATTGTGAAGGCCCAAGCAGTTGAGGACTTTTCATGCACAGTACTCTTCAAAATGGACCCCCCAACCAAGGCTAGCATTGTGTACCAGAAGATGACATCTTTCCTTACTGGAATACCTACCATTAGCCACCAGCTGGACTAGGTCTTGTCCGCCCAGCCCGAACTATGGGTCTGGCAAGGCTAGCCTGCAATTCCAAAAAAAAATACTAAGGCCCACCATCTATCCATTTTGACGGCCCCCTCTTCCCTTCCCTCCATCCCTCCCTCCCCAGTTTCATGTTTGTTACATTTTGTAAGGTTTGTCAACTTTGCAGACCGAGCCACAAACTTACCCGATAGGCCTCGGTCATGAACCTTAATCTGGCCCAATTGTCTAGAAGCATGATCTGTTGGGCCATTAGGCTGTGCCACAGCCCGCCCATAACTCAATGGATTGCCCGGTCATACCTAAGCCTTATGTTCCGTTTGTGGTAGAAAAATGCAAAAATAAAAAGTTTGAAAGATGAAAAAGTAGATGAATTAATTTTTATTTTAATTCATCAAAATAAATTCTTCTAAAATTGAGAGAAAGTAGATGAAAAATTAATTATGTTTGTTAAAATTCATTGCTCTTGTGTATATATCATTTAATATATACGTATATCATATTTATCAATTACATATTATGTATTTATATTTTTTCATCTTTATATTTTTTAATTAATACCAAATATAAAAAAATTAATCATTTCTATTTTCATCCATCCTACCAAATATATAATAATAAAAATAAATAAATCATTTCTACTTTCCTTATTTACCAAATAGAAAACGTATCATTCCTATTTTATAATCACTCATACTTTCCATCTTTCCTATCCAATAGAGCATTGATGAAGCAGTAGATAAAAATTAGTGATTATTGGAGGTCAGTCCTATTTATGAGACTTATAAGGCTTAAAGTTCGAGTCTTAAACATGTGTCATTAAATCCTATATTAGTTATCTTATTTGGTAATTAAATTCATTATAAGTTTTTTTTTATTACTAAAACACCCTCAACAAATTGTTTTAACGTTAAAATGAGTTTTAAAATTAATTTGGATATCATAATTCTATAACTGATAGTAATTTCAATATCTTCCCAATCTTAGATTTAAAATTCAAAAAATTTTGAACTACTCTCTTTCAATTCTTTTTCAAAAACCTCATCATGTAATCCACGACCACCGCCCAAAACACTACCTTTATAGCCTTGGGGGGCGGTCTGTTTTTTATAGACTTATTTAGCAAAAAGTCCAATCAAAAATTTTGTTTAGATTTAAGTCTATTTCAATCTCTATTATCCAAAATATCCCCAAGATTTATATCTAATTAAACAAATTTGTAAATTAAAAATTTCTAAATTTCAAAACTAAAAACTCTTAAATTATAGAGTTTTTTTCACATTAAAAACTCTTAATCATGGGTATGCTTGCCTCAATCGATCTTTCCCTTTTTCGAGATTGAAGCTCATCCTTTCATATGGTGATTGGCGTTGGGACTACTATTCACCGAACACTGATACACAACTGAGTTGTTGAGATGGGGTGGACATTGACACTGAACAGGGGTTACGTCGAGGGTGATTTCCCTCGATGCCTAAGTAGTTTTGGATCCTTCGACCCTAAGGTAAGCCAAATACTCTGTTTGGGGGGAGGGGGGGTGCAGTTGAATTGAGCCAACAATTTCAATGGAAGGGTGATGATGTTCTTAACACGACTGAACAATGATGTTAGTATAGAGCACACTGAAAAACTGGATCAGTTCAGTCTAAGCTTCAAAGCTCTATGAAATAGGATTTGAGGAAAAGTAGGTAATTACGCAGAGTGTTTATAGTAGTTTATCGGCTCGGGAGTTCGATTAATCCACTCTCGAAGGAGTCTCTTGCTCCAGAATATATTGGTTACTGTGTGAAGTTTAGAGAGAGTATTTTGTAAGGCTATATTGGTTTCTTCTTTATTTTCGAGAGTTTTGCCTCCTATTTATAGTTATCCTTGAGTCTTGTTTGCTCTAAGATGAGATCCTCGCTTCTTCTTTGTAACGATTGCCCTTATTGAACAATGAGACTTGTACTTAGTGAGTGATTGATACTACAGAAAAAGAGAACTTTATGGAATTCAGTTGTTCTTTGCACAACCTTTTTTGAGATATGGGCACGTGAAGTTAAAGTTGAGATAAATAATATAGATGGGTGAATTTTCGACCTAAGCAATATGACTTGAGTTACGGTATTCGTCCTTAGAAATTTTTGTGGTCCAAGAGTTGCTCAAAGTTGGTCTTGGCACCACTTATAATAAGCAATAATTCATGGAACACATAATTCATGCAATTTGTCAGATGACACGTGTCACTTCCTCGCTGGATTACCAAAACATCCCGTCAAATTGGTTAACAGTTGCACGGCACCAGCTATCCAGTTCTACCAACCTTTAGATATTCCAATTACATGAGAGTTTAGACGGAGAAGCGAGATGGGAGACGAAAGTAAGGGAACTCAGACGGAGGCCGTTCCTCTCCTAATTCCACTCAAGATGGGTAAATTTGATCTTTCTAGCAGGTCAGTTTCAAGCCACTCAAAATCTATTCATATAGTTGTTCTTCATGATTTAATCTAGCCAAACAGGTTTTTTCTTTCTGAGGGACCATCTTTTTTGTTGCAGTGGATGTGTAAACTGTAATAAATTTGTTTTTAATTTGGTATGTCTCATCGAAGGAACAGGGTTTCATATCATTTACTTGAAGAGTTTTTCAGTGGTCTAAAAGTCAATCCGATGTAGCCTCTTTGTTTGATTACAATTTTTTGTGGTTGGTAGGATTGTTTTGGCACCATTATCCAGATTGAGATCTTACAATTTCCTTGCACAACCACATGCCATTCTGTATTACTCACAAAGAACCACCAAGGGTGGCTTTATGATCGGAGAAGCCTCCGGAATTTCAGAAACTGCTCAAGGGTAACTCGCTTTCTTAGATTGATTTGCAGTGCACATCCATGCACGTCCCTGGAAAAAGATATAATATTTTCAGTTATGCCACTGTTTTCCTTGTTTGAAGTTATCCAAATACTCCTGGAATTTGGACAAGAGAACAGGTAGAAGCGTGGAAGCCAATTGTGGATGCTGTTCATAAGAAAGGGGGTATATTCTTCTGCCAACTTTGGCATGCAGGGAGAGTTTCAAATTACAGTAAATTCCCTCGACTGCCCCCTTCATTTATATTATTTGTAATCTTGCCCAAAATTTGAACATCATATCACACGTAAATAAGAAGTAACTAAGCCATATAATACCCTGTTTACAGGTTTTCAGCCTAATGGTCAACCTCCAATCTCCTGTACTGACAAGCCAATTCAAAGCGAGTTCGATATCGGTGGCTCTGGAGGAGCAGATTTCTCACCTCCACAACGGTTGACAGTTGAACAAATCTCTCAAGTTATCAATGACTTCAAAATTGCTGCTAAAAATGCTATTGAAGCAGGTGAATCTTAACAAATATTTCGATTTTAATGTGTTTCTGGGGCATGATTAAGATTCCCAGAGGTCATGGCACTAAAAACAGATATGGGATGTGAGTTTATATGTATATCCTGTCAATAATGATGACCATGCTTCATTTTCTTTGAAGTATCAGAACATTTCCTGCTATAAAATTGATCAAATATAGAAGATTTTAATATTTGTAACAATGACAGCATGATCACCTTTAGGGGTGGGCTCGGCCCGTGTATTTTGTTCAAACTAGGCACAAGTAGAATAGGTTCAAACTCTTATCCGAGTGAGTTATCTAGTGGACTGGATCGGATTGGACTTCAGGGATGAGTAGGCTACCTATACTCACTAGCAGGCCCACTGAGCGGGCTTGCGGACGGCCTGTTGGGAGAGCCTACTGGACGGGTTTTTATATATAAATTTATTTAAAAATAATGAATATTTTTATAAATTATATTTTTAAATTAAAAGTAGAATCAAAATGAACAGAAAATAAATAATTAATAATTTTATTTATAAATAGAAGAGGAATTGCATCACAATAGAATGAGTAATACATGAAAAAGAATGAGTAACCAAGGTGTCACCTATCCTCCTATCTATTATTTGTAAAACTCTATCATTTAAAGCGTTTAATACATGAAAAAAAATAATTTATTATTTATAATATTTAAATTTCTAAAACTTTGACTTTTAGTATTAGGGGACTTATTTTCATATTTAGACTAGGTTGGGCGAGCGAGTTTTTGGGCCAAGTTTTAACGGGTAGGCTATTAGGCTTGGGTTCAGGGGGGTCAACTATCAGATCTATTGAGTTTCAAGCCTATTTTTTTAGAGTCGAATAACGAGACTCGTAAGCAATCCGGCTCATGGACACTCCCAATAACCTTTAACATGTGAATCATGTGATGGAGGAGAAATGTATCATGAAAAAAAAAAGCACCCTTACGCTATGTTTGGTATGATAGAAAAATGAAATGATAGAAAGTTAGAGCGATAAATTAAATATCATGTTTGGTAAGGATGGAAAAGTGGATGAATTAACTTTCCTTTTAACTCACCAAAATCAATCCCTCCAAAATGGAAAGGAAAATGGATGGAAAGTTAATTATTTTTGTTGAGATATATTTTATTTGTCTATATGTTATGTATACATTAATTTCATATAAAAATATAATTATAATATATATATATTTGAAAAATTTTAAAAATAAAAAATAAATAAAAATAAAAATAAAAAAATAAAAATTTTAACTTAAAAAATTATTTTTTTTTATATTCATTAGGGATAAAAATTTTCGACTTAACACGATGATACGACTCGAATTCGACAAGAATTTTATGACACGAACTTGAAAATGACTTGACACGCGAACAAAAAATATAAAAAGCTCATACTTTTATGACTTAACACAAATCTGACACGACACGACTCGATTGTCACCTCTAATCTTAGCCAACATAAAAAAAAAAATTAAAAAAAAATTGGTGATTTTTATTTTCCATCTATCCAACCAAATACAAAGAAAGGAAAATATATCATTCCTACTTTTTATTTTTAAAGGATAGAAAGTGTATCCCTCTTATTTTCCATCATTCCTACCGAATGGAACATTAGTTTGTCCATATTTTGTTGATGTTGTATTGATTCTTATTTTGATTGTCATATGAAAATGACATTCAATTCAATTCTCAATTCCTCATTACTGGAGGTCAGATTTGATTTTTATACCAATTGGTTAATTTTTTCGTTCATATCTCTACCCTCTAAGATAAAATTCTAACTCCGCCATTGGTAAAATGTATAGTTTTGATTCCTTGCCCTTGATCAAATGCACTCTCTTGGCATCCAATTGCACTTCATATGGACTATTTAATATATTGCAGGTCAGTTGCACAGATCTTTGTTTTTCAATCCTTCTCATTCAACAAAATATGTTACGAATTCATAAAATGGACAATTCTTGTGTAGACCTGACCATAATGTTTGTCGTCACTTGCATGCACATGACTGTTCAAAAAAAATTTGCATGCAAATAGAGATAAGAGCCCATGAATGCTGATGATACAGGATTCGATGGAGTAGAGATTCACGGAGCAAATGGGTACCTGCTCGATCAGTTTATGAAAGATCAAGTGAACGACAGAAGAGATGAATATGGAGGAAGCTTAGAGAACCGTTGTCGTTTCCCACTAGAAGTGGTTGAAGCAGTTGCAAATGAGATTGGAGCTGATAGGGTTGGAATTAGACTCTCTCCTTATGCCAATTACAATGAGTCTGGCGACTCAAACCCGGACGCTCTTGGAATTTACATGGCTGAGTCATTGAACAAATACGGAGTTCTCTATTGTCATGTGATTGAGCCAAGAATGGTGACACAGTTTGATAAGCAGGAGACCACAAATAGTCTGCTGCCCATGAGAAAGGCTTTCAAAGGGACTGTCATTGTTGCTGGTGGATACAATAGAGAAGAAGGTAATAAAGTTGTTGGCAGTGGTGGTGCTGATCTTGTTGCATTTGGACGCTTATTCTTGGCAAACCCAGATTTGCCTAAAAGATTTGAACTCAATGCTTTCCTCAACCAGTATGACAGAAGCACTTTTTACACATCTGACCCTATTGTTGGGTACACAGACTACCCATTCCTTGAATCGAGTGCATAGGCCTTAATTTTTCCCTTAAATTATCCTAAATTAGACCTGAATAGGTGTGTTCCAAATTATCTAGAATTAGGGCCGTTAAATGAGCCAAGCTTGAACATTTTTTTAAACTCGTTTATGTGTAAATAGTCAAAGGTTTAGGCTCGAATTCAGCTCGATTATTACCTCTACCTAGAATAAATTCATAAATTTTTATGAATGCTTGAGAAACTTGGGAATCAGTTGGGAATATGAAATATACAAGGCCAATTTGAATTTGTTTAAGTTTTCTAAATTCCAAGTCCTGATAAAACCGCTGATCTTATGTTCTATCTTCTGCTTGCTCATTTCATAAACTTTTTCAAATAAAAAACAAATTCCTTGTTGAAATGAAGGTTTAAATGGAGTACATCTTTCGATAGATGTTCTAAATCTATAGTTAAGCACACATCATTTTTTGGTATGATTGTGCATTAAACTCCTTGGATAAATAATTTTAATGTACTAAACATGGTTCATATTGGTACATAAGTTTCTGTCAAAGAAGATTATGCATATCATTACAAGGTTTGTAATATCTTGCTTGTCTACATTTCATATGTTCATCCATTCTGTAAGTTTCAACCATAACAGTCAATTCAAGGTCTTAAATATAGCATCCCAAATAGCAACAGAAAACCAGTCCAAATCAGCACGGCCCATTGCGGAAGGAAGATTGCAGCAGTAACAAAGTCCCATCTGGCAACATCCAATTTCCAAATTGATCTTGCCTGATCTTAGGCTCTTTCTGTATTTATGTAGCCACAAAGGCACAATCAATTAGCTCATTCATCTTAAACAGATCATCAGATTGCCTTATATATTCTAGATTTTCTTGTTGATTTGTTGAAACACAAGCTGCACCACAGAAGTCCAAGTAACCAATTAGTCACTAACGCAGACATCCAAAAACATCTAAAACCATGGATGCCTCCAACACTAATCGAACTTAAACTGCAGTGAAAAACATTAGCAAAAGTACAAAAAGGAAACTAAAGACTATATACGGAGGCAGAACAAAGGATTTCTTGGGAACTAACAAAGTAACGTACTAATTGTCTACAGAAGATAGAGGCCAACATAAATCAAATTCCCACTCTGCGAACTATCTGCCTGTCATCACCAAAACTAACAAGGAAAAGGTGTCTAATTCTGCCAACAATGGCAAGAGATTAACAACATACATCAAATACTAAAACAGCCCACAAGAGTTTTTCATCTTCCATGTCAAGGTTTACTCATCTGCTTCGTCCTCCTACAATAACAGTAATGAAATACTCATCAATGTAATAGAAAAATAAATAAAAGGGTGTTACTCATCAAATGTATCAAAGAAAACAATTCCGACAAACCTCCGCACTGCCCTCCTTTTCTTCGTCATCATTGACCTCAGACTTTGATTTGTCAGACTCATCATCATCATCAGCTATATTTCTACCTTCAGCCTAATTACACGTAAAGGGCACTTTCATGACTAAATGCCAAAATGGATAAAAATGGCATTGGTTATCAAAAAATAGGATAAGCCAATTACCAATTTCTTGTTGTAGGCTTGCATGCTTTTTTCATATTCCTTCTTTCGCTTCTCTGCTTTAGCTTCATAGGGAGCTTTCTCCTAAATTATAAAAAAAAAAAATCAATTAGCAAATTGGCTGATAGATTTTACCAAAACTTAACAGTACAAATATATTTTTCAACCTCAAATGAAATACTAAGTAAATCTTAATCTGATTCAGTGATTGCTTACAGCATCTGACAAAGACTTCCATTTACCTCCAGCAGCTTTGCCAACCTATTTTTTTTTGTACAATTGAGATTAGCAAAAAACAAAATAACACATATATTGCTGGTAAGGGAAAAAGTATCACAACATTGTCAACAAATAAATATGAAGGGGAACAACTCACAGCAGCAACTGATTTGTTGTTGGGATGTTTCTCTTTGAACTGTTTCCTGAACTCTTCCCTTCAATAAAGAAAATAACAAAAAATCAAATTTATCAACACAAAGGAAAAATAAAAGGTGTCTAGACAAACAATACTATTTGTAGGAGCAAGATAAGTAACCAATGAAAATACACCATAACAACGGCATACATGAAAACGAAGAAAGCACTGGGAGGCCTCTTAGGCTTGTTAGGGTCCTTCGCTTGCTTCTTTGTTTTTCCTTTCTTAACAGCAAGCCTACCAAAATAATAAAAGATTATATTCACAAAGTGCACACACGAACACACAAATCAAGATCTGAGACGTCATGATTTCAAAATTTTCGCAGCAGGTAAGGGTTTTGTAACAGGTGTGGATTCAGTATAAGAAATACAAAAAATATTACTTACTTGCTGTCCTTCACTTCGGCCTTCGATTTACCTCCTTTCATAGCGAATCCTAAAACATAGATTTGAATCAGTAGAAAAATAAAGTGAGAATTCAGATCAAAATCGGCAAAAACCTACAAAAAAAAAAAAATGCTAGAATCAGATCAAAATCAGCAAAAACCTACCGTTCTGCGGCTTTTATGACTTTGGGTTAGGATTGGATCGAGAGAGAGAGAGAGACAGAGAAGGGCAGCTCTGAGCAGAGACTCTCAGGGAAAGGGGAGAGTGGGAGGGGAATAATAACAGAGAAATTGTAATTCAATCGCTTTCAAAATAAAATCCGGGCTTTTGGATTTGGGCGGGATGTAAAATTTCATGCCACGTCACCGACCCATGTGTTCACCCGCTATTCGCTCTCTCAATGACTCAAGCGTGTGTTTGTTTTGTACCGGTTGTTTGGAATGCTCTTGTTTGTTCTCATTCCATTTCAACCCGAATTCAGAATAATTTTGTTTTGTTTTTATGTGATTGCATTTATTATAATGCTCCGTTTAGTACGATAAAAAAGTGAAAGGGTGAAAAGTTGGAGGGATAAATAAAATATCATATTTGGTAAAGAAAGAAAGTAGGAAGTATAAAAAAGTGAATGAATTAACTTTACTTCTAACTCACCAAAATCTATCCCTCTAAAATCGGAAGGAAAGTGGATGTAAAGTGAATTATTTGTTTTGAGATGTATCTAATTTGTCTATATATCTTATGTATATATTAATTTCATATAAAAATACAATAATAAAATATGTATATATATTTTAAAAAATTTTAAAAATTAATTTTTTTTTTAAAAAAAATAAAAATTTAAATTTAAAAAAATATTTTTTTCATCTTAACTAAGGGTGAAAATTTTTGATTTAACACGATGACATGACTCGAACTCTATACGAAAATAAATAGATCAACTCACAACTCAACACGACACAATTAGTTAAAGGAGTTAAGTTATGTTTGACTAATATTCGACACAAACTTGTAATGACTCGACACGAATTTGACATGACACAATTTGATTCTATTGTCACCCCTAATCTTAGCTAGCACAAAAAAAAATAGTTATTTTTATTTTTCATTCATTCAACCAAACACAAAAGGAAAGAAAGTGTATCATTCCTACTTACCATTCTTGAAGAATAAAAAATATATTCATCTTACTTTTCATTCTTTCTACTTTTCATTCTCCCTACTAAACAGACGATAAGAGTTAGTCATGGTTACGGATAATTTTAATATAATTTACTAGCTGCTAGTCCAATCACGTATCATGCACGGGTCATTCTCGTCTCTTCTCCATCCCCTTCTTTACTCTTTATTCTCTCTCCCACTATTTTATATATTAGCAAAAATATTATAAAAATTATTAAATTGTAAATTTGATATTTTAAAAAAAAATTAAATGATAGTTATAAAGAATTTATGGGTAGTTATTTAAGAGTATTATTTGAGGCATTTAGTAGAGTATGATTGAAGGAATAGAATTTAATAATTCAATATTATTAAAAATTAGAATAGTGGGAGTGAAGGCTAGAAATTGATTATTTTATAATATAGTATAGATTCCTTAATAAATTTACTTTAAGCAATTGTTAATGAGATTTAATTGAAATAACTTGAATGAAGTTTCCAATCAAATTTAATGATCACAATTATTAGTTCTCCAAATTAAATGTACCTATTATTATTATTGTTTCACTTTTTAACATATCGGCATTATTTCTACTCCAATATGCAACTAAAGACCAAATAAGGTTTTTATGTCGAATGTGTGAAACAATAATATAGTAAAAAAAATTATTCAACGGTTTTATTCTTTAAACGGGTAATAGTTACATTAATTTGAAGGGTTAATTACACCGGTGGTCTTTAATGTATGTATTACGAGCCCGTTAGGACTCAAATTTTATACGATTAGGGCTCGCATATGAACTTTCTTCCCGAATATGTCCTCCACTATAAGATGCATGAACCACACATGACAAAAATCTATGAGAAATCTTGACACTGTTAAGTTTGAGGACCATTTTAAATTCAAATTGCAAGCATTAAGGAGGCATGGACTAATATGATGCAATTGATAAATTGGGAAACAAAATACACAAAATGCATCATACTTTGATAGGGTTGATAATCGAGTCAAATTTTGTGAGTTCAACTGACCATGTCAAGCTCAACAGAGCCTATTGAGCTCATTTTTCTAAATAAATTTAAAAAATTGTTCAAACTCAGTTTATTAAAAAATTAATTGAGTCGAACTCAAATTGAGATCAAATAGTTTGATTATTTTATATATAAACCGGTCAAGTTTTTTTGCGCTTGTTCCAAGTTTTTTAGGCTATTTTTTTAAACGAGTCTAAAAAATTATTCAAACTCGCCTCGTTTATAACACAACCTAAATTTCAGTTGAGTTCTATTTGAGTCGAAGTAAATCAGTTCAATTATCGGCCTGACTCAAACGATGCAAGTAAAAATTGAATTTTTAAGATGAAGTCTTGCCGAGAAAAACAGAGGATCTGAATCTAACACAGAAAAACTATTAGGCTATCATGAAAATCTGCATAGGTTCACAAAACATGGGGGTGATCAAACTGTGATCATGTCCACTACTCTGATTTCGAGATAATAAAACAGTGGGGAGGCATTGGCTCTGATATGGGAAATGGAGACTTCGAAGTGTCTTTTAGATCTTCCTGCATATCGCGTGATAATCTTTTTGTAGCTTTGAATGATACATCAAGGACAGCCTTTTCTCCGACATTTGACATATATCTGGACTTGATTAAAGCATACATGGTTTCTGGAAGGCTGGCAAAGTGTAAGAAGGTATTCAACCTGGTTAAACAAACAAGGTCGAGTTGCCGCAACTAGAGAGAGAGTTGAAATGAGGTAAGGATGCTAAGATTTTCAACATTCTGTATAACCCATTTTTTTTTTGTCTTCAAGCTGTTGTTTTGTTTTATACAAATGGTTAATCATGTAGTTATTAGGGAAACCTGTCATGTTTCAAGAGCTTGCATTACTCAGACAATCATTTGTGGCTACATTTGCAATATGATTATAGAGGTCTGCCCTATGACTTGATGACTTAACTGGATTTTTGTTAATGGGTGAATTTTGGTCATTCTAGTGTACATAAGGGGTTGCCTACAAGTGTCAAAACAAGGCCATGGCTCACTACTATAAGTGGGGACTATCAATTTCTGCTGATGCTCACCTATCTATCCTTTCTCCTCTTCCTCCTTTCCTTTTTTTTTTCTCAATAAACATTAAGGATACAATCCCCATCCACCCATCTCACCTCTTTGAGTTTATATAGCTGAGCTTTGGACTGTATATTCTCAGTGTAACTTTGTAACTTTCTTTTATTTCTTTTTAGTTAGTTATTTATCAAATACTGAAAAAGTAGGCCATCCTGTGTCTACGGTTTGTCTTCATAAAATCTTGGAACAACTTCTGTTGCACTGAATGATATGTTTGGTATAACAAATCAATTTATACGTGTGTTTGTGTGTGTTGTAAGAATACCGGCATGATGTCCTCTTATTTTAAGACTTAATTGCGAGAGAAAGTTGATAAACAACTATACGTATAAATATTATTTGGGACTAGTATTTTGTAATACAAGAACAATTTGTTGATATACTGTCTTCTAATTCGGCTTCTTGATATTGTAACTCAAAGTTTGCTCTTTCCACATGTCCCCTTCAAGATAGATCTCATAAAAGCTGACTTCCCCTGTTGCTCTTGTGGTCAGAGCAGCTGTGCTTCTAGTGCCATATCGTCCCTGTACAGTAGAAAGAGAGAAACAGCCTAAATGTTTGATGTTTCATAAGTTACCGTTGGCATAAAAGACGCATAAGGTACAGGTTTACCATTGGAGTGTCTACTTCAACAAATATGGAGCTTAGACCAGACTCCCAGTCAAGGGAACATATATGAGGTAACTTCCTCTCATCAGCTTTAATTCTGTCTCGCATTAGTTTTTCAACCATCTCTTTCATAGGGATATCCCCTTCACCATATATGTCAAGTAGTTTCTTGAAATTCAGTCCCAAGCGCTGAGCCTGAAGCAGGAGTTTCGAAGAGAAATTTTTAGCTGTTCCAATGTTGGATGTAATGTTTATCAAAACAACTGTAACTTGGAAAGAATCAATATCCTTCTTGTAACATCATTAAACACTCCATGATAGTTTTTGCATGTAGTAAACAAGCAACTAGAATATGCATATGAAATCATGTTGCCTGTAAGGAGTATTTATCTGATCTAACCTTAGGCCAAGGAGAGTCCAGCTTTGCATTTGAGAGCACGTGAATACCAGGATGAACGTCCTGAACTATAATAGATTCCCCTTTTGGCCTGTTGGACATGTAAATCATGGTTTTGGAGGGAAGATCAACCATTATCAGGTTAAAGCCGTTATACTGATGTGCCTCTTTCACCATGTCCTCGGCAAATTCCCTGGGGCTCTTTTTGCTCTGATCATACAGAAAGAGAGAAGCAAAGTAAGCCAGCTTGAAATGCTACAGGAAAAACCCAACTGTATATTCATCAAGTGAAATCATCATCATGACATAATCAACTAACGAAGCTCTTCAAAATTACAAGGAAGCTCGTACACAATTTATATATCAAAAAAGGATAAATCCTCCTGCCTGGCCAATGAATTATACATAATATATTCAATTTGATCAAAATTACCTTTAAGAAACGGACAGAGAGATCTCCTCTGCTCTTTGCCTCAGGGAGGGTGTGAAGCTCCAACACATTTGTTAGAAAGGCCACTCTACCTTCTCTTGAACAAGCCAACCATGTTCCCCCCGCAACCTCATCTTTCCCTCCCAATATCTCACCACCTTCCCACCATGCTACTTGTTTTGTAGGCCTTCAACAAATAGAAGAGGAGAAAACCAATATTACCAATATTTTGATTTCAAAAGAAGCATGAAGAAAATGGAGATTCGTAAGTGTACTTACCTGTTGTGATATTCATCTCTGTTAAGCAAGAGAATCAATGGGTAGAGAGGGTGCGCTTGCCAAACAAAAGCTGCAATGCACATCGCTTTAATATGCAAAGCCAATGAAATTGTAAGAAATCCGTGTGTGGTTTATAAGGCTAATGAAACGAAGTTGTTCTGAAGCAGAAAGTTACCAACAAGAATGAGGAAGAACTAGAGAAGAAGAAGAAGATGTAAACGGGCTAATAAAACGAAGTTGTTCTGATGCAGAAAGTTACCAACAAGAATGAGGAAGATCTAGAGAAGAAGAAGAAGATGTAAACGAGCAACAGTAACTTTAACGGCCAATTTGCTTGTGGCTTTGGCCAGTCTTTGTTCTGACGTATATATACACTTTTGGATGCAGCCTAATTAAATGTGGATTCCTGTGGATTTGATCAAAACATGTGCGTTTTATCTTTTTTGTGGGATAGATGGATGGGTTGTAGATGATGTACGTTTGACTTCTCCGAGCATTGTAGAAAGAAAAGGAAACGACGTACAAAATATATCTTCTTTATTCTTTGTTTGTACTTATCCTTTTTTAGTTTTCCCTGGGGGAAGTAATATATCATATACTGTTTGTACCAGAAAGAAACAATTTCTATTATATCTTGGCCGAAAGAATTTTAGGCAAGGATAGGAAGGTATAGATGAGATGAGATGAGATGCACTGTTGTAACACCACGAACCATTTTCATAATAATATTCAGAGCGCCAATAACATTTATAATCACTAAATGATATGGTATTTAAACAACAAATAAACTCTGATACTAATTTTATATGTATTTTAAACATGTACTTTAAGACTATTATAACTTACACATCTCAGATATAATATTCTTTCAATTCAACCCTTATAACATAACACATTTTCAAATCTTCATTAAAGAAAACATCGAACATTCGCGAACTTCCTCGCTACCTGCTAATCTGAAAAAGAGGAAATAATATAGGGTGAACATCAAAAGTTCAGTAGAGTAACAAAATTTTCAAACAAACGAGTTTGAAAAATAACATAATTTAACATGATTGGGCAATATTAAAACAGTTCAGTTCATGCATAAGTAATAGAGCAGAAAACTTTGAACAAAAACATTTAAGTTGAAAATAATAATACGATTATAATATTAATAAAGTGCTGCACTAGTGAGCGATCATCCTAATAGACCATTCAAGGTCCATACGAACATATGATCTAACCTTTTGGAGGACTTTCACCCCAAGGAAGATACACTCTCTAGTAAAAATTTAGTATCGAAGTCCAAAGACCAACCGGTACACTCAGGTATTTACAAATTCAATGAGTGTCCTCTACATCGTCAAACTGAAATGTAAACCCTTCGCTACTCGACCATTGCACACTTACATTTCATCCATGGAGTTTCATTCAATACAAGCAATTCAAGCAATATGATCATTTATAAAAATAAGTGCAAATTGCACTTAGAAATCCTAATTCAAGTCTGGTTCCAAGTCAATATTTAAAACACCCAATTATATATTCAAAACATACTAAAACATAATAAATAACATATGGAATAATTTAGAAACAAGTTTGAAAACATCGCCTATTTCAAAATTAAGAAACCCTACCTCGATCCACGTATTAACTTGGATCTGGCAAAAATAGAACAAGGAAATTCTTTTGTGAAATTTTCGTAATAACCTCATTTTAACTACCTAAACATGGTTTTTAAATTTAATTAGGTCAAATATTGCATAACTATGCCAAACTAGTACAAGTAGGGATAAGACGAGTATTTTCCATGTTTTTCTTGGGACTTGTCGGTTCTGTGTTACCCAAATATTTTTGGAATCTCAAACTCAACTTACATCAAGTTAATTAGGAATTAACCTTGTAAAGATTTCTAAGAACAGTTCATGTACTCTTGACGGTATCCCAAAGGAAGCATTACGATTATTTACCCGTTGGGCATCAACTCCGCCTTTCTAAATATGTCCCTAATTTTCAGTCACATTGAAGCAAAAACAAACTGTGTTAAAACATTCTGATTCTGGTGTCCCAACCCTCATATTCATTAAGTTTTTTAAGTATACTTTCCAATGCTTCAAACCGTGCATGAATCCAAATTTTCTAAAGAAAATTATGCCTATTTATCTAAAGGTTATTAAAGCTGTCTAAGACAACCGGGGTTTACGAATGTACACCTTCTTTAACCCGTTCTAGCTGTACACCACCTGATTTAGCTTTCATTCCACTCCTACGAACATATATCTCTACCATTTAAAATATGAATTTAAAAGGGTTATAAGCCATAAGTTTCAGCAACCACTAAGCTGGTCAAACACAAACTTCACCAAATGAACTTTGCATCAAGCACTTGCACAAAACAATTTCTTATGTACTCATCTTGGCATGTAGGTCCAGTCTAATGTCAAGCTAATGGTAGCTAATTGCTAAATAAAGAGTTCAACAACTCAAGAAAATCAATTCATGTAACTTGTACAAATATAAATTCATGTAATTTGATGTCCTGAACTTACCAAAATCATCAGTTGATGTCGAAAGAGATCAAACATCAAGACTCGTTAAGTTTATTCAACTCTAGGCTCCCTACTTTTCCCACCATTTCTTCTTCACAAACCCCCACAACACCATACACTCCTTGCCCATTTTATTTTCTGCTTTGTTTTATTTCTTCCCTTTTGTTTAATGGCTGACTCATTCCCAGCCCCCTTAGGTTAGTTACACGTTGGTAGAATAAAACCATAATGCAAACCCTCCTTACACCTCATGGTTTATCACTTACAAGGTTGACATCTATCCTTTCTTTTTTATTATGCTTGACTTTTCTTTCCCATGTATGTTATAAAATATAGGGTAAATTGTATTAAAAGTTTTTAAAGTACGAAGTTTATCTCATTTTGGTCCCTAATGTTTTAAATGCATCATTAGAAGTCCAAGAAATATTGAATATGTTTCTATATGGTCTCTCAATCAGACAACGTCCAAATTACTAACGATTTTTTTTATTATAAACTTGACACATAATAGCTAAATATGAAAAAAAAAAAAATTAATTTTAATGCCTCTTAAACAAAAATGTGTAATATGAATAGTTTTTTTTATCAAAATCAAGATAATTCATTATCAAAACTGTGTAATTTGGATAGTTATTTAACCCAAATTTAAGTAAAAATTTGGTCAATAATTATTCAAATTATTTTTTTGTTCATATGTAAGTATCATATGACAAATTTATGATAAAAAATTATTAACAATTTGGACGATGTCTATTGAGAAATTATATAAAAACATATTCAATACTTCAGGGATTAAAATGATATAATTAAAATATTAAAAATTAAAATGAAATAAACCTCATACTTTAAGGACTTCTCGTCCAATTAACCTAAAATATAAAACTTATGAAGACTACCAACTGATCCGTACAAAAGATGACACTAATTCAGTTGAAATCCTTCATATTCATTAATCACACTCTTGCCCTAAAGCCTAATTTTAGAATTTTTAAAAGTATATTTGTGTTGCACATTAAACCCAATAAACTTTTATTACTAATAAAGTTTAAGTTCACTTGTTATAATGAAATACTATATATTTTATTCCACGATATATCGAGCATGACTAACCAAAAGTTCTATATAATCACGCTTACCTCCAACAACTTTGAAAAATTTATATATTTTTTCTTATTTATTTCAAACACATTAATTTAATGATCTTAAAAATACCAATTATGTCCTTCGAGACCCACACTCACCAATTTGAATTACACACACCGACCCTCGAACCCCTAGCCGATCAAATTCGCACACTAACCTCAATTATTCTAATCCTTTCGATTTGCATGATTCAAATAGTCTACCATTGCCAACAAAAATTTTAAATTTCCTCACCACAGTCATTACCTTAAAACGTGTTCGAGGCCTTATTCTGCCTAACATAATTCATGAGACTCGACTCGACTCTTGAATTACAGTCGTCACAATCCACCAACCTTATAAGAATTGTGTCCCCTAATAAATTCCCACCTACATGTTGTACTCATAAATGGATAAGTGTGAATACCAATATCAGAATACTTATTCAAAAATTATATTTACCTCAACGCTCTCCCCATTATTCGTCATCATAAGCACACATCTTTTTATCCCGTTCACTTGATTTTCACTTGCATGTTCCACTGTGCTACTACTACACAACATACTCTAGTAAAGTACTAACTGTATTGGTGTGACCTCGATCCAAGTAGCTCGTGCACAAATCATCCCTTAAAGTCATCTCAAAGAAAATCAAAATTAATCCACAAACATATAGACAAGTCACCACAGATTAAATCTCTGGTATGATAATTTATGTTCATCACTAATTAATTTCCTCCACTACCCACATGTCGTCATCCTAAGCAATTAAACCTAGGACAATCTCAAAATCTCACTGTGTTTTTCGTTGAGATTGATGGTATTAGATCTTTGAATTAAAAAGTAAGTAATTTGAAAAAAAAAAAGTGGTGGTGCTAGTTCTGGACGTTTGGAGAATGTAGCTTTTGGAGAAATTACAGAAAGGTCCCCTTAATTTTGAACATGTTATATATATTTAAATTATGGAGGTTGTACAAAAAATAAAAAAATAATAGTGTGCAATTGAAGTTATTAGCATAAGGAATTTTGGAGACGAAATTTTTTTAAGGTGGGTAGATTGTGAAAATCGATTATCGACTCGAAAGTGATTAACCAATTTAAAAAAAAAATTGGATCATATGATATTGTTGAAAATTATACGAACGTTAATTTGAGGTCAAATTATATACTAGGATTTAATTATGAAAGAATTGGACATTATAAAATTTATTGAGACCAAAATGTATCTAGTAAAGAAAAAAAATAGTAAAATAATAAACAAAAAGGAGAAAGGTGATGTTGGCGGCTAAATAGAACAATTGTATGACTCTTGCCTCTAGGATACCAACGTGTATACCATAGAGTGAGCCAAAGTGATGAGTAAACTTTGATGGAAAAAAAAGAAAAGAAAAGAAAATATAGGCTATAAGAAAGGTGGTATAAAACAAAAC